ATTTTTACACAGTGCAGCATATTATGATGCACTACACCAGATTGCAAAGTGCTGGGGAGCATGAAGTTGAATAAAATGTCATTTTATACGGTTAAAAAAGCCCCCCAAAAAACAGTAAACAGTGTGATGCATTGTAATAACACAGCACTGGGAGAACCAACACATCACTGGGAAGACTGTGCACAGCATGGGAAGACGCGATAGCACTGGGAAGACCATGCACAGCCCGGGGAAGACCACACAGCCCCGGTGAGACCGCGCTGCCCTGGTGAAAATGCACAGCCTTGGTGAGACCGAACAGCCCTGACGAGACTGCACAGCCCTGGTAAGACCGTACACAGCCCTTGGGAGATTGCGCACAGCCCTAGTGAGATTACACACAGCCCTGGTGAAACCACACAGCCCTGGGAACATCGGATGCAGTCCTGGGGAGAACGCACACAATTCTGGTGAGGACGCACAGCCCTGGTGAGACTGCGCACAACTCTGGTAAGACCGCACAGCCCGGGTGAGATGCCACACACAGCCCTGGTGAGACCGCACACAGCCCTGGTGAGATGCTGCACACAGCCTTGGGGAGACAGCACACAGACCTGGTGACACTGTGCACAGTCCTAGTGAGATCACACAGCCCTGGGGAGACAGCGCACAGCCCTGGTGAGATGCAGCACATAGCCCTGGTGAGGCCACATACAGTCCCGGTGAGATGCCGCACACAGCCCTGGTGAAACGATGCACACAGCCCTGGTGAGACCGCACAGCCCTGGTGAGATGCTGCACACAGCCCTGGTGAGTCTGTGCACAGCCTTGGTGAGCAACACAGGGTATCTAGCTTTATATTATTCTGCATTGCTATATAATGAAGTGCTGGGATTTGTAGTCCTCTCTTGTTGGTGGCATTCTGCATTGTTATATAATATATTGCTGAGATTTGTAGTCCTCTATAGCTGGTGGTATTCTGCATTGTTGTATAATGTATGGCTGGAAATTGTGGTCCTCTATAGCTGGTAGTATTCTGTATTGCTATATAATGTATTGCTGGTATTTGTAGTCCCTCTATAGCTTGGATTCAGGGGTAGAACTACCAGGGACACAGTGTTTGCAGCTGGAATCGGGCCCTGGCACATCACCACTGTCCTAAAATCATTAGTCGGTATTGTTTTAGAAAAACTGTTTTAGAAACAAAAGGTATCGGAAATTAGTATCAGAGAGTACTTGAGGAAAAGTATCGTTACTTGTACTCGGTCTTGAAAAAGGGTATTGGTGCATCCCTATAGCTTATAAGTCCTTAAATGTGGTGGCTGAAAATGGAAATGTGGCTGTGATCTGCAGGTATGGGTAATAACCAAAATACACAGCAGTTACAGCAAGAATTTAGAGTGTTATATGGGTTGTCTCAACCCTCTATCTGCGACTTTCGCTGGACAGCTTGGTTTGTGACGAGCTTGAAAAATAACAGACTTACTGCTCAGATAACTAGGTGCAATTAGAAAAAAAGCCTAAAACAAGAAAACAAATGCAGACACCTAATTTACAACTTGGTAAGCTGCAATATATAACATTTTTGCTTTTGGGCTAAGATATGCTTTAACCAGTTGCCGTCTGCCCAAAGTAAAAATACGGGCGGACTAGCGGGCACGTGTGAGCAGGATTCCACTGGGGATCAAAACAGCCGGTACCAGTTGTTACATACAATCGTTTGCCCGGCTCTACAGCTGGCTGATCGCTTGTATGACTGCATGTAGTGTGCGCCCCCCTCTCCATTGCAGCGCTCCCCCCTCCGCCGGTTATCCCGGGCTCTGCTGCCCCCCCTGCGAGCCAGTGCTGGCACAGCAGCTGTCTGTACAGAGAATGGAGGAGAGATCAGCATTCCCCCACAGCTGATCCCCACTGGTGAATAAATACCACCAAAAGAAAGCTCTATCTGTGCCGAAAAAAATAGTAAAAATTTAATTTCAGTACAGCGTTGCATGACGGAATAAATGTCAAAGTACCGCAGCGCTGAATACAGAAAAATGGCCTGGACAGGAAGGGGGTTTAACACTCTGGTCAGCAAGTAGTTAAATTATTTTAGAGGCAGTGCCTTGCTTATTTTAAAAACCTCACAAAAATGCATGTTTATTCCAGTCAATGCATCTCCAAGTCTTGACAGTAAACAGATGATCCAGCAAGGTTATTACCGACTGTCTAAACTGCTGATTATCTCTACCTTGACACTCATGCAATCTGCCTGAATGGCTGCTACATGTATAATCCTTCACAGATGTTCTCCATGAGATGCTTTCTACTCTTAGATCTATTATAATCTAATTGCATTCACTTGTTACCTTCTGTTGCTAATTAATGAAACAGGATAACCTGAGTAAACCGGTGACAGAAGAGGAAGTGTTACATAGCTGAATGACCCCATTGTTTAGTTATACCTTATAGTTCACTGGGTTTAGATATGCTGCCTAAAGCTAAGACTATAAACAATAGAAAGCAGGTCAAAATCTATTTTTAAACCACATACCCAGATTCTGCGTTGCTGCTGCTCTTACTAATCTTGACAATTCTGAATTTTGTAAGGGATGTTTAGCTATAATTGAATGATGGCACACCAGGTAAAAAGTTATCTTTAGCAGATATCAATTGGCACATTATTAGAACAAGGCCACAGGGTTTTATGTCTGCAGCTGGTGTATGGATATGTCCCACTTTACACTGATATAACAGTAAAAGCTGCAGTTTTGCTGTGTAGTTCAGTGGAGAATGCAGAGTGTGCAAATCCATCATACAAATATATCATATGTGTCAGGATACAGATGTTAAAGTGGTATTAACCAGTTGACATCCACGGTGTTAAACCCCCTTCCCATCCAGGCCATTTTTCAGTATTCGCCTAAAAAAAAATGCCGTCTGGAGACGGGAACCCGCCAATGCTGCAGTGCCGTCCGTCCGTTTTTTTACAACAGGCGGACGGCAAGAGGTTAAAGCCTACTTTTTTTTGCTATTTCTACTGCTGATGTGAACACATACCTTCAGTGCTGCTTTTCAATGCGCTGATGTTTTCCTTTCCACTGATTCATGTGGTACCTGCAGTGCTCACCTTGCTTTCCTGTGTAAGGGTGGCTCCTTTGCTTGAAGGGTCCTAAGGAGCCACCCATTTGTGTTCTCCGCCAAGTGAAACTACAGTCTCTCATTGCGCTGTAGATTCTATGGCCTGGGAGCATTGTCTAAAGCGCCATGTGAGCACCACGCATGCACAATGGTGCTATTATGGGACAGGTAGTCCTGAGGAGGAGGATCGGATGGATGTGCAGAAAGTAATGAGTGGACTGGAAATTAGGGGAAGCTGCTTGAAAGTAACCCGAGGCTGTGGCTGTGATAAAATATTAGAGTCATCGTTTTAGCAATTCTTTGGAGGAAATATATATTAGATACTGTAGTACTTAAGGTTGAATAAAGACACAGGTCCATTGAGTTCAACCTTTGTGAGTGTGCGTGTGTGTGTGTGTATCAGTCTCTGTGTGTTCCAGTGTTTAAGAGTACCTGTACCCTATGATTCAATACTCTCTGCTGATACCACTGCTTGCGGAAGAGAGTTCCACAATTTTACTGCTCTAACTGAAAAGAAGCCTCCTCACCCCTTGTGGTTATTTTTTCCCCCTCCAACTGTAGGTGGTGACCTTTTGACTTCTTTAGGGAGTTTACAGTAAACAGTTTATTGATGATATTGCCATCATCATTAAACATTTTGTACATCAAAATCATTTCCCTTCTTTATCGCCTCACTTCTAGAGTAAACAAGTTTAAATGTAGCAACTGAGTAAATATACGGGGGTCTCTCTTTCTTGTATTTCTATATTGCTTGTATGCTACTTTAAGACTGATAATATACACTTGCAAATCTTTCTTTCGCAGCTGTTGCCATGGAAACAGAAGTTCAGAGCCTGTGACATAGTATATGGACAACCAGATGACAGTTGGCCACCCTTTTCCTGTCATGGAGCAAGAAATAGACCTTTGTGGTCAGAACTGGTCTTAACTGAATATTGATGGGATGAGCTTCTGGAAGTTCCTCAATTCGCTAGTCACATGATGTCACCTCCCATTTAACTGCTTACTAACTGATAATAAAGACATGAATCTGATTGGACAAACTATACAATCATGCCCAGAATACGCCTATACATGCCTATATCTTATGCATATTCATGACTATAAATTGTTATGTTTTTACCAGAAATACTTCCTCTTTGATCCACCTTATATGAGCTGGGTCATTCTGTTGTATTTTTCCACTGCAGTTCTCTCTGCAGCACCTATTCTTTTATCGATTTGGACTCACTATCTCATCTAGAAGGTCTTGATTGAGGACCCCCTAATCTGACGTAACACAACCTTGTCTAACAGCTTTGAACCTCCAGCCCCTAATTAGTTTAGTTGCCCTACTCCGGACTCTCTCCAGCTCAAGGACATCCTTTCTGTGAACTGGTGACCAAAATTGAAACACATACTCAAGATGAGGCTGAATCAGTGATCTGTAAAGTGGCAATAGCATTGCTTTATCTCTAGAGTACATTCCTTTTTAATACATGGCAGTACTCTGCTAGCTCTGTTTCCTGCAGCCTGGCAGTGCATGCTATTGTTTAATCTGCAGTCAACTATGCCTTCATTTTTTTCACTTTTTCCACTTCTGACTTCCTTAATGGAGTTCCCGTTAACGTCTACATGCCTGCTTTTAACCTCAAAATGCATTACTTTACATTTTTCAACATTAAACATCATCTGTCACATTCCCCTATTTTATCCAGGTCCTCCTGTAATGTTATCATATCTGAGCTCTAAGCTCGAGTCTATTGCCCTCCCAATTTTAGTATCATCTGCAAACACAGAAACATGGCTATTAACACCTCCCCTAATATTATTTATAAACAGGTTAAACAGTATGGGGCCTAGCACAGAACCCCGGGACACGCCACTCTCGACCGTAGACCAATTTAAAAAAGAGCCATTACCAAACATCGGCGGTTCCAGGTGGAGTACCGTCGCTCCAGCTGCCCTGGACCTTCCACTTTACTGGATCCCTCCTCATCACTGGACACTCTCTCAACCCTATTCCGTGGAGTCCAGGCCCAGGTGGGTTGTGCCCATTCCACCTTCCTCCACCCTGGGCCCACATGCCCTTGGTCCGTTCCATGCCTGTGCCAAGCACTTGTTGACCTCACACTGAAGAGACTACCTCAATCCCCTCCTGATGAAGCGCCCCATGGCGCGAAACGCGTTGAGCCTACAAGCATTGCTCCTCTAGCATTGCAAGCAATACATCACCGCCATGAGCATTGTTCTTTCGACGTTTACTATATTAATCAATCAATATTTGTTTCTTTTGAGTTGCCTATGATGTTGTATTTCACATGTATAGATTCATGATCATTTAGGCAAACCTCGATTGTGGTGTATAGTGGGTGATAGGAGGTATTTTCCTCTGAGGTATATGTCTTTTTACATTTTTCATGCATATCCAATGCTTTTTAAAGAATTATATATATTTGTTCAATAAATTTATATCTTTTATATACCTACGAGACTGAAGTTTATTGGACTTGTTCTTTCTGGAGCCAGCAAAAAACACCATCTTTTTCTGTCCCTTTTTTTATTACAATTTGTGATTACTCTACCTGTTCTTTTCTTACCTTTTTACAGTATATATATTGCAAGAATTTTTGGGTTCTTCTTTCTGACTGTGGCGATATGTTTTTTGGTAATCTATTTTAGCTGCTCAGATTGCACTATTACATCTCCTATTGCATTCCTTGTAGTTCTGGAATACCAATGCAGTCCCCTCCATCTTATATTTTTTAAATTCCAGCTTCCTCTCATTGATATGTTGTTTTTCCGCTTTATATAGCCATGCAGGTTTAGCTCTTGTTCTTTTATTTTTCTTGCCCAATGATATGCACTTCCTAATGGCATTATGCAATGTATTTTTAAAACAATCCCACTTCTCACCATTGTTCATTGTTAGAAATAATTTGTCCCATTTAGTGTCATACACTAGATGACACTGCTTATTAAATTTTGCCTTTTTAAAATTAGGCGTTTTTGTATAGCATTCTTCCTGGTTGGCACATCTACCATCTGATCCATGAAATTGTTCCGCAACAGGTTTAGGAAATGTCTGTGAGCGGTTCCATTTGGCCAATCAATGTCCGGATAATATAAGTCACCCATAATAACAAATTTTCCCTGCTTCTCAGCTATTTCTACGTGCGAATGTAGTTGAGTCTCCTCTTTTTCCCTTATGTTGAGGGGTTTATAACACACCCACAATTAGTTCACAAGTATCTTCAGTCTTATCTAGTTCTAGCCACAAAGACTCAACACCATCACAACTCTCTGTCGTGAGGTCATCTCGTATGTGCACAGTTAGATTGCTTTTCACATACACGCATACCACTTCACCTCTTCTGCCGACTCTGTCCCTCCTAAACAGGTTGTACCCTTGTACATTAGCTGCCCAGTCATTTGAGCTGTTTTGCCAAGTTTCTGTTCAACTATATCAAAGTCATCTTCGAGTAGCATAAGGTCAAGCTAATCCAATTTGTTTGCTAGACTTCTAGCATTTGTGTACATACATTTTAGTTTGGTGCTAGTGTGACAGTTTTTTTCTCCATCTTGCGATGGAGGAGAAAACTGAAATTACCGGACACATGTTGGTCTATGGGGAATCAGATGTCCATTTACCTCATAATACCACAATCAGGTCTGATGAAACGGAACTCTGATCCCCTTGTTTTTCCAGACCTAGCCGGAGCCAGGGGTAACCTGATGTAAACAGATGCCCGTTCGTTTAGATCCAGCTGTCCATAGACTAATATTGGACTTCCAATCATCTCAGCCAGAAAAACTCACAGGTTGACCTAATCAGAGCATCAGACATTAAAAACTGACAAAAATTCAAATCCTTCCCCACTCTATCTAAAAAAAAACCCCCAAAACATTTTGGCTATAGATGTATTTTAATATGTAAATTATACTAAGCTAAGTAAACTAAGTAAGTTTTCACCTAGCTTAATGAATAGGGCAAACTTGTGCTGACTTCAATCATCCAATCACCTGAGCAAAAATCCTGTTTTGTTTGACCTTTTTCACTAAAGGTGGCCATACACTTTACAACCATTGCAAGACCTTAGTCTTGCGATGGTTGTAAAGTGATTAAATAAACGTACGACTTCCGGTTCCGGCGCCCGATGCTATAGACGAGCGCC